TTTAAACAAAGGAGCCCTCTAGGGAAAAAAATGCAATGGCAGCTGCTTTCTTCCAAACGGCAAAGTTGCAGATTTTCCCAGGCTGGCTTGCAAATAAATAAATAAAATAAATAAATCCGCTGGGAGGCTCTTTTGGGGCCCACGAAATGGACTTGGCCCCGGCCCAAAGGGGCTCCTCGCTTTCCTCGGGGCCGTGGTTTGTGCTCCTCTGCAGCAGAGCTCCAGAGCTGGAAGAGAAGCTCCGACCTTGGCTTTCGTCCTCTTTTGGAGCCGCTGGGTAATTTGCAGACGCTCCCTTGACGCTGGTTGGCGGCCGGGGCGCTTTGAGCGATGGACCAGTTGCCCGGGCGACCGGGTTCCGTCCGCCGTCGGGCCCGGGCGACAACATGGAGCGCGGCGTGTTGGGGCCGGGCCGGGCCCGCTTCCTGGCCTGCGCCTGTTTCCTCACCGACAACCTTTTCGTGGAGCGCTACGGACTCCACCTGCGCTACCGGGGCGACCCCGAGCAGCTGCGGAGGGACTACGGGCCGGTGAGCCGAGGGGCGGCGGAGGATCCCTCGCCCGCAGTAGGGAATGGGAATGGGAGGTGAAGGGCTGGACTACCGCCCCCATCCTCCCCGGCCCTGCTGAGCCCCGTTCTTTCCCCCGCAGGTCTTGAGGCAGCGCGGCTGCAGGAGCGAGGAGGACTTCGCGGCCGTCCTTCGAGAGGTCTGGGCGGGCGAGGCTGCGCAGGAAGCCCCTCCGGGCTTTGGTTGCATTAGTTCTGCCCTTTTTCAACCGAAGAATCTCACTAGCCTGATTAGAAAAAAATCCTTTTTCTTCTTTCTTTTTCTCTTTTCTCCTCTCCTTCCTTCCTGTCTTCCTTTCCTCCCACTTGCTCTCATTTTCTTTCTCCTGTCCTTCCTTCCCTCATTAGCCCTTCCTTCCTCAGTTTTTTCTTTCCTTCCTTATTAGTCCTTCCTTCATTCTTTCCTTCCTTCCTTCCTTCCTCTCTCCCCATTTGCTCTTTTCATTCTTTCTCCTTCTCTTTTACTTCCTTCCCTTCCTCTCCCCTTCCCTTCCTTCATCTATCTATCTATCTATCTATCTATCTATCTATCTATCTATCTATCTATCTATCTATCTATCTATCTATCTATCTATCTACATACATACACAAAATAGATGTTTATATATGTATACACACATTGCATAGCTACATAATTACCGGTATGTATCAGCTGGAAGAATTGCACCAAACTCTGGAATTTCAGTATTCTTACCTTATTTTGAAAAAACATACAATTATGGATTACTCCACAGTATCATTGCTGCTCTATATCAGCTGCAATAATCACACCAGCATAATTCTTAAATTATTTCCATATCTAGTGAGGCATATTGATATATAGTATATATGTCCACATGCTTATATAATTATATCCACATGCTTATATATATCACCTGGAAGAATCACACCATTGTGGAATTTCAGTCTTCTTATTGTTACATTATTTTGAAGAATCATGCAATTGTGGCTTATTCCATAATATTAGCTTGAAAGAACCACACAACTGGAAGATGGTTACGATTCTAGAATTGTATCCTTCCCTTTTTTGTACAACTCAAGGCAGTGTGTGCAAAATGCTTCCTTGCCTCTTTATTTTCCCCACACCGTCCCTCTTGAGAGGGGGTTGGGCGGTGCAAGAGACTCTGACCAAAAATCACCCACAGATTTATGTGTACTAGAACTCAGTTTCTGGCCTGGTACTTTTTGAATTTTATGAGACCCTCTCACTGTTTCTGTAAACAAGAAAGAGAGGAGGAAATCTCCCTTGTATCTGTTAAAGTATATCGTAATCTTAACATTTTATAAACAGTCAGATTGAATTGTTGCAGGTTGAAAAAGAAGTGCAGAGAAGAAAGGAATTGGACCGTCTGTCCAGAGAAAGAAAAGCAATCATCTCTCAGAATTACAGACCAAAGCACCCACATCTATATATTTTACAGGTAAAGGATGTGTTTCGTTGTGATCGGTTTATGCTAGAGGACTTGGAGGAAGGGGGAGGAAACTTAGGCTAATTATGAAGCAGTGAGACTAACTTGAGGCTTCACAGCCTTTTCTGACAAAGAGGAAACCACATAATCTAGATGTTGATACCAAATCCTTTACCTGTGATTGAGGTAGGGGGATAATTTACCTGGGCAGGGGGGAGCATGCAGCCTGGCAACCTGCTCCCAGTCCCTAGAGTTAAGAGCGCTGGCAGCAACCCCCCAAAAATGGATGCAAGTGATAGGCCAGTTAATTAGAAGGAACGTTTATTCTGTTCAATTCTGTCTCTTGTTCTTTCCTCATCCCCACCTGCTATGGTAGGAATCATTTTTTAACCCGGAATTTTTAGAAACAGTCAAGTATTGCACATCCCAAAATGCTGATCTCCAGGGTCTCCTACACCGTGTGGAATCCTTATCAGGTAAAAACATTGTTCATTTATCAGTAGCCTGTAGGGTGAGCTTACGGCTGTTTGGCTCAGGAAAGGCTCAGATTCTCACGCACAGATGAATCTTTTTTGCCCTTGCTGATGAAGTTCCATTCAATTGGGGAAATTCATTGTTTTATATGCAAATAAATTAAAAAAATCTTGAATGATGGCCTCCTGTCCACAAACTTCCAAGCTTTAACTATAAAAACAAAAAAAATGGGACTAGTTTATTTTATCAGCTGGAAAGTATACTTATTCCTAATAGGCAATAAAGTGGATTTCTTCACTCCCCTCCCTGGTTACTTTCTTCTTCTATTTCAGATAAGAGAATATACCGGTTGCCAATATTCACCAAGGAATTCTGTGAAGCTTTTGTTGAGGAACTAGAACATTTTGAACAATCCGAGATGCCCAAGGGGAGACCCAATTCTATGAATAACTATGGGGTGAGATTCACATCTTGCAGATGGCAAAAATGGGGAATGTAACAGGGGGCGTTGATGTGGGAATTGGTTTTGTTTAATGCACTTTCTCACATTAGAGAAAAGAGGGTTGTTTGCATTCTATCCTGTCTCACTTAAAAACAAAACAATTACCAATGCTACAGCGCTAATGCTTGACATCATAAAAAACATGGTTTTTTTTCCAAAGCCCTTGAAAAAGATCAACCTGAATCTTCTGCTAGAATATTCATCATTTTATTTTTTTTCTTCTTTTATCTTCTGTCCCTTACTTTCCCGTTCACGTTTATGGCAGGTGCTTTTGAATGAACTTGGACTGGATGAAACTTTTCTGACACCTCTGCGAGAGAAATATTTGCAACCCCTGACAGCGCTGCTTTACCCGGACTGTGGAGGGAGCTGCTTGGACAGCCACAAAGCTTTTGTGGTGAAATACGCACTGCATGAAGACCTGGACTTGCACACTCATTACGACAACGCGGAAGTGACCCTCAATGTTTGCCTGGGGAAAGAGTTCACCGAAGGGAGCCTTTATTTTGCAGAATTTAGACAGGTGCCTCTTTTAAAATACAAGCTTAGTACAATTGATTGTAATCTTTTTTTTCACATCAACATAGTTGAGATGGGCAATTAATCTCTATATGACAGATTTGAGATCAGGTGTCTTTATAAAAGTTAGTCAAACTTTTCTCAGCTCTGCTGGAGACCTTCTCTACCTCGAGGTAGTACTTATTTTACACATCTATGAATTATTAAAGCTATAATCACCTGGGTGTACGGTGGTTATAACTTTTGGTTATTTTCTTTATATCTTGCCTGTATTATTCTTAGAAATAACTCAAGGCAGTAAACATACCTAACATCCCTTCCTCCTCCTAGTTTCCTCACAACAACCCGGTGAAGTGAGCTGAGAGTGTGTGTGACTGGCCCAAAGTCACCTAGCTGGCTTTTGTGCCTAAGGCGCGACTACAACTCACAATCTCCTGGTTTCCAGCTGGGTGTCTTAACCACTAGTTTCTACTGCCTTGATTTGAAGACCACAACTGCTGAAACAGCTCTTAACCTGGTGATCTTTGTCCACTTTTTTCCAAGGATGCCAAGCCTGTGCCAAATTACCTTGAGGTCGAACACCTGCTGTACTACGGATTGTTCCATCGCGGAGGGCAGCTACACGGGGCACTGCCCATTGCCTCTGGCGAGCGCAGGAACCTGATTATCTGGATGCGATCATCCGCTGTCCGCAACCACCTTTGTCCCATGTGCAATAGAGTGCCTGACCTCGTTGAGGCGGATGGATTTGGGGACGGGTTCACTAGGATTTTGGAGGGCAGCCCACCTGAGACCACAGATGTGTGCTCATTAACATAGACGATGGAGAGAGAGCAGAATTTTATATCTGGATTTTAATAAATTTTCAAAATCTGACTTTAAGGCATCAATAGTCTCTTCTCTATGCAGTCCTGAGTGCTTGGCAGTTTGCTTGCGGACGTTCCATTGCCCAACTAGGCAACATCATCAGTGCTAGAATGAAGTGGGGTTGGAGGAGGACGACTATGGGGTCCTTGGTGCTCTTTGAGTTTTCTTGCAGACATTTCATGTCCCAACTAGGCAATATCATCAGTTTGAGGGTGTGTAAGGGGCTCCCTGCTTGCATATGGCAAAATCCCACCCAATATCAGTCCTATTTAGATGGTGTCTCTCCAGCATAACAGCTAAATACCTTTCTTAAATCAAAAGCTCAGAAATACTATTTTGAATGCTTTATTTTTTAAATAAGTACCTTTCCTTCTCAGTTACAATAGCCTCTAATTGGAAAGCAAAATCTCCTATTTTTAACTTCTGGTGATCAGAAAGCCAACAGCTTCAGGAATCTTGAAAGAGATTTAAATAAATAAATCCCGACAAAACCGTGAGTGAAGAGTGAGATGGAAGGCATAGGAATTTAATAAAATAAATATAATAAATCTCTATTTGGAAGGAAACTCTTCCTACCTAAGGCTCACGTACATTAACCGAGGTGGGAACCAAAGTGCGCAGCCTCCGATTCCCCGCCGGACTCATCTAGGAACGTACCAACCGGAAGTCGCCGCCAGAGTTTAGCGAACGGTCGCCGTTGCGGCGGGAGGGGGGGGCTGCGTTCGCTTCCCGAGGCGGCTGAGGTCCGCGGATGGTGCAGAGAAGCCGCCTTAACGAGGGCCCTGCTCCTCACGCCGTGTCGGGCCTTCTCCGCCCCACCGGCGAGCCGCTTACCTGACTCGGTAAGTTCAAGACCACCGGGGCGAATTCGGATCCATAAAAGCGGAGCAGGGTCGTCGTTGGTGCGCATGCGCCCCAGGCGGCCACCTCTGGAGACTAAGGCGGAGGCGGGCTTATAAAGGCAGGGGTGCACGCGGATTGGCCGAAGACAGTTTAAATGACAGCTAGGAGAGGGAGCTTTTCTTAAAAGGGCCAGTGCTGAAGTCTTATTAGGTATAGAAAAGGAAGAATATTAATATACTGTAAAGATTTTGAGTACAGATAGCTATAAAACATGGGGGAGCAATTTCCCTTAAGAATAAAGTGACTATTCCAAAAGGAATAAAACCTAAAAGAATAAAAATTAGATCAATTTTGTTGCTTTTGCATCAATTCAGCTAGTGCCCTTCTGTCTGCTTCCCCCTTTAAATCTTAACCAGTTTAAAAGAAAAATAATGTATGTTATCTTTCCAGAAGAACATGTGTTTTCCTCATGTGATAGCATAAACTTGCAAGAAAGTCTGTGGTACCACATAAATATTTTATATACCAGATACAATTAAGATAACATCGTTACCCTGTGAAACTCATGGCCACAAAATACCTGTAAAAAGAAATGGGAATTAATCCAGTGATCAAGTGAAGTAATTAAATGAAACTGGAAAAATGGCTTAAAAAAAAAAAAGATTAAAGATCTACAGGATAAGAATTCCATTGTAAAAAAAAGAATAAAGTTTTAGTTGGAGATGAATAACAGGAGTTATATTTTGTATTATATTTTACCTGTTTTAAATTTATTTTACACTTTTTAATTTTATATATTCTAGCTTTACAAATAAGACATTCCTAGAGGGTTGCAGTAGTGAGGATTATTCTGCTGGGGTGTGTGTTAAAAAGCATTTTGTCTGTCTAAAACAGGCCTAAGAGCAAGATGGCTCACAGCCAGACTAAGAAACGCAGGAGGAGTCGAAGTGATTCCCGGAGTCGAAGTGATTCTCGGAGCCGACGAGACAAGGAGGAAGATAAGAAAAGGAGGAAGAGCAGCAAAGATCCCCGAGAGAGGAGGAGCCGATCCCCGGCAAGCAAAAAAGAATCTGAACCCCAGGAATTCAGGATGAGTTTATCCTCTTCCAAAGACGGTGAGAAAAAAACAACAACAACCCTTCAGCTTTTCCCCAAAATTGCAGCCCTTTTGTTTAGCTGTGAATCTTAACAAATGCACAGTTGCGTCCTCAAGTGAGTGTTGTTGAAAGGTGGAAGAAGGATGGAGATTTCTCCTCAACCTTCCATCTTGGTTCCCCTGGCAGTTCACAGGAGGGTCCTCCTTGACTTTGACTTATTGTATTTTATTTTATTGGTTTGTCAAACATGTCCAAGATAACAAGTATCGGTATGAACATAAACATGATGTCAGGTGTGATGACCCAAAGGGGCGTGGCACAAAAGCAACCAAGTGACGAAAGTAGGTAAAGTCCCTTTAATTCCTCCAACTTGGCCCCCAATGTCCAGTTATCATCAGCTGGAGAAAATATTCTCCCAAGAACAGTTTTTAAAGGGAAGAAATTCAGTCCGAACCCAAAGTACATATAGATTATAAATAAAAACCAACATAAACCACACTGCAGCAATTAACGAGACAGGGCAGGATAAGGAATTGCAGACTTCAAAAGATAACGAAACACACACAGTTGAGAGGACGCCAGAACCCAGATAAGACTTGACAAACCAAAATAATTCATGCTTTGCTTCCAGCAAGGTGCTGTGCGAAAACGCCCTTTTGAAATCCTGTTTTCCCAGCTGCAGCTAATGGAGGGAATCGGGGCCCTTTCCTCCCCCGTAACACCCGCAACCCACATTGCTCCCTTCTCTGTTCCTCCCTGAGTGCCCTAGGATGAAGAGGGGCTGGGCCTGGGCCTTCCTCTGAACTCCCTCTCCCTTGCTCTATCTCTCCCCTGCTCTGCCCAGCCGGATTGTACCCTTCCCCAGTTTCTTCCACAGCCACTGGAGCCACACTCCCACTCCCTGTCAGCTACTCGACCTCCCCCTTGGAATCAGATTCCAACAGGGGCATGACATCAGGATTCTGGCAGTTACCCCCAGTTAAATCATGAGTCTCAAGCCAAACTTCTGGAACTTCAAAGGGATTTATTAGGAGTGAACATGTCCAGCACTGCCTGGGTGCAGCCAACTCTGAGATACATCATTCACTGTCACTCTTGACCCTGGTTTTCCCCCCACTCCTGGGTATATCGTAATTCATATTCTCCAATGGGACACATCCATAGCCAAGAGTCATCAATCATGTTCTCCAGTTAGAATTGTGCCTGGCAGAAACTTCAGTCACCTAGTTACTATCTTTGAAAAACTATGTATGGAATGCACTTTCGGTTTCCAAGCTGCCGCACTGCTCTTTCAAGCCCCTTCCCCCCCCCCTTTCTGTTGGCAACTCTTAAAAAGACCATAAAAATATTTTTTGAGTTGACACATGAACAAAGGAGGTAAATATAGAGAAATGGGGACAGTAAGACAAGGACGGTAGGCACGCTGGTGCGCTTATGCACGCCTCCTTTAAGGACCTCTTAGGAATGGGGTGAGGTCCACGGTAGACGGTTTGAGGTTGAAGCTGGGAGGGAGTCGAGGCTGTAACAACGGAGTCAGATAGGGCGTCCCAGGCATTGTCCACTCTGTGGCTGAAGTCGTATTTTCTGCAGTCGAGTTTGGAGCTTGTATCAGTTTTTTGCCCGTGTGTTATTGTGGTTGAAGCTGAAGAAGTCATGGACAGGCAAGACCTTGTAGCAGACAATTTGGTGAACTATGCTTAAATCTTAGACTTGGCTTTCCCTTCCTTAAAACTTCCCAGGAGTTCCCCCAGGACTAGAAACTTGAGCAATTTTAACATTTGCAACAGGAAGCTCAGATGTAGTGGCGGTTCTCGCTGTTTGCAGGCATGATTTTTAAGGCAGCCTGGGGGGAAAAGGGGGGGGGGAATTCTGGGAATTTAACTCCACCCATCTTAAAAGGGGCTGAGGTTGAGAAACACTGCTTTAAGGAGCAGGTTGATACCGACGACTTCACTTGTCGGGTTGCAGAAAAGCCCGAATTACTTTGAAGAAGTTAGCCAGCTCACTCTGTTCAGATGTGGTCTCCAGACAGGTTGGGTCTCGGTAGGACTAGCAAGGAGAATTACTTTGCACACACCCACACACCCACTTGGTGATGAATTATTTTGTGGTTCTCTTGTGACACGATAATTGTTGTGGGTCACCGGCAGCAGATGCGGACGGTTGCGGTCTCGGAGAGCGAGGACTCAGATGAGGGGCCTGCGTGTGATGCTAGGATGGGGCCAGGACCATCAGGGAGATGGTCCTGGCCCCCTTCAGAGATTATGGAGGCTGGCAGCAGTGAGGAAGAGACCCCCGAGGAGCCTGTGCCCAGTGCACATGCGCAGAGGGCTGCTCGAAGGAAAGAGCAGCTGCAGTAGCACGGACGACTCGGGAGTATGACTGCAAGGTGATGGCCCCTCCCTTAAGGGATAAAAGCCAGCTGAGAAACCGGAGTTCTTTGCAGGAAGCAAAGAAGTTTTTTGCACTCAAGCCTGGTGGATGTTCTGACTCTCTTAGTTTGTGTTTGGAGTCCCTTTGGGTTTGAAATATTTCTTAGTAACTTTATCTAGTGTTCTTGGCAGCCTTGCACCACCTTGGCAAGGCTCATTCTTACCAAAGACAATTAGTTTGAAACAGCCTTTTAATCGGGAAGGAACGGAATTTGTAAAGAATCATTAAAAGGTTTTGCTGTGACCTCCGTTTGGTGTTGGTTTCCTTGAAACAAGGTTTGGGTCGGAACAATAATAAATGAAGCCGGTGGGATCAGATCTCCTGGATTTCAGGCCCCGGTTTATCTTCTGTTCCATGCTGCTTTCTAGTGAAAAAGAAGAAGAAAACGAAGAAGAAAAGGAAGAGGAAGGACAGCAGCTCCTCTTCCTCCGAGACCAGCTCTTCTTCCTCCTCCTCTTCCAAATCGGCCTCCTCTTCCAGCGCCTCTTCAGACGGGTCCGGCGACGACAAGCCCAAATCCGAAAAGAAAAAGCAGAGGAGGAAGAAAGCATCCAAAGGGAAAGATAAGAAGCGGAGAAAACGAAAAGAGAAAAAGAAGAAGAAGAAAGCCAAGAAGGAAAAGGGAAAAGAGGAGGGAGCTAAGAAGGAGGAAGCCCCCGGCCCTTCGCTGGACCAGTGGCAGAAGGAGGCTGGGTCGGATTCCGGACCTGGTAAGGCTGGCATTTGTAAACTCAGTTAAAGTGAGCCTGGGAAAAAAAATCTCCAAAAAAAGAGGGTTGGAGGCACTATTGAGAGGCTTTTGTAACATAAAATAGGTCCCCCTTCCTTCTTCCCTCCCTCCCTTTCCCTTCCTTCTGCCTCAATCTCCTTCCTTCCTTCCCTCCCTCCCTCTTTTTCCTTTCCCCTTCCCTCCTTTCCTTCCTTTCCTCCCTCCCTCTCTTCCCACAATGGTTGTTCATGAAGAACAGGGTTTTTTTCCCCCCTTCCTTCCCTCCTTTCCCTTTCCGCTTCCTTCTTTCCTTTCCATCCTTTTTCCCTCCCTCCCTTCTAACAATGGTTGTTGTTGAGGTAATTTCCCGTTAGGAGACTGAGCGCATACAGGGAGACGTAGTGAGAGAAGTGTTTGAATAATACACACACAGCATACAGATACACTGTACAGTTAAATGTAGGTTTTTACTTTCCATAAAGGTTTAAGCAAAGTTCAAAATAGGCAGTCCAAAGTCATTCACAAGTTAAATCAGTTTTCAGTCCAGGGATAATCCAATAACAAAGTCCAGTGTCAGAAACAGTTCAGTATCAGACTTCCATCAAATCCAGGAATAGCAGTCAATTAGAAGGAAAAATGGAGGAACGGCAAAACTCTCCAACAGAAGGAAACAGAGATTCACTCACTTCTGAGACTAAGACTAAGACTAAACAACCCAGGTTTCTAGCTCCATCTTATGGCCAAAAACCACACCCAGTTACACTTTTAGTATTTTCTTAAAGATACAGTATTAAAATATTTATCCTGGTTTATATATTTCCAACCCAAATACCTGTTAGGTGACTTACATTCCTAACATTTGTTCATCATGAACAGGGTTTTTTTCCCCTTCCTTCCCTCCTTTCCCTTTCCCCCCCCCCCCCCCCCCCCTCCCTTCTTACAGTCGTTCCCCCCCCCCCCCATGTAGACTAAAACCCCTGGGTCCTTTCTCCCTATGGGGTAAAAGCCAGAGCCTTTTCTATGGTCTATTGAAGAGTTAAATAGCATCCTTTTATTTTCTGACGGAGGTTCCTCTTTCAGCCCTCACGGACGAGCAGAAATTCCGCATCCAGGCCATGAAGCCGATGACGAAAGAGGAATGGGACGCCCGCCAGAGCGTTATACGGAAAGTCCTCGACCCCGAAACAGGCCGAATGAGGTAGGAGCAGGGCGGCTGGGTTGAATGGCAATTCCTTCCCTGTAATCTTTGTCTTTTAATGACCCCGTAGTCCCTTGCGTCGGGTTGAAAACTTGGCAACTGAATGGAGCAGAATGGTTACTGGCCGGATGCCCTTCCTGTCACCAATGCGGAGTTCACAGCAGATAATTACTCATTGTACACAGGGAGAGAAATATCTGCCGCTACCTGGGATCAAACTCACAGCCTCCTGATTGTGAGGCGAAAGCTCAACCTCTAGGCCACCGCACCATTCAATTCCTTCCCTGTGATAATTTTACAAGCTCTGTAGAATCATGCTCTTCCAACATCAACAGAAAGCAGGTTGCATGGGGTACCAAGTGGAGGTGTTTCTCTTGCAGACTTATTAAGGGCGACGGAGAGATCTTGGAGGAGATCGTCACGAAAGACCGGCATAAAGAAATAAACAAGGTTAGTAACTTTCCACTACCACAACAAGCTTGGTTGCAGCTGGCCTGCTTGGACAGGATGAGCGTCATTGACTTCCTAACTAAAAACCGGCTCCGTTTTTCTTCAGAAGTTCTTATTTTACCTTGAAATTTACTCAGACAAGATGCTCGTTTCCGTCTCCATATCTGCACTTCAAAACCCACCCCGAGCGTCATGTCTACGGAGATTGTCAGTCGCCCAAGTCATGGTTGTCCCAAAGGTGTTTTTTTCCCCAAAAGGCAACTAGATTTTGTTTTTCCTTGAAGAGCTTTCACTTCTCATCCAAGAAGCTTCTTCCGTTCTGATGAAAGGAAGAAGAGAGCTTCCGTCAAAACGGAAGAAGCTTCTTGGACGAGAAGCAAAACCTCTTCAAGGAAAAATGTAAGTCCATTTGCCTTTTGGAAAAGGCACTTTTTGACACCCCGAGCATCAGTCTTAACAAAATCAGGCTTCCTAAAGTGCAGGGTGAGACACTGCTGATTGACAGACGTCAATTCAATTCTCTTTTTATTTTCACCACCACTGGAAACCTAATAGCTTCCAGGCAATCAATCAATTCACCTTCTGGATTTTGCCATTTTCGGGGAATCCCTGTTGTGGTTAGCTGGCAGCAGGCGCGGAAGGCTGAGGAGAGCAAGGACTCAGATGAGGGGCCAGGACCGTGAGGGAGTGGACTGCTGCCTTCAGAGATTGTGGGGGCTGGCAGCAGCGATGAGGAGGTTCCCGAGGAGCCTGTGCCAAGTGCATGTGTGTGTAGGATTGCTCGCAGGAAAGAGCAGCTGCAGCAACACGGGCTACTCGGGAGTAAGGCTGCAAGGTAATGGCCCCTCCTTCAAGAAGATAAAAGCCAGCTGTGAATCGGACATTCTTTGCAGGAAGCAAAGACGTTTTGAAACTCAGCCTCGTGGACATTACAGTATCTTAGTTGGTATTTGAAGACTCTTGTGTTGTGAAATATTTCTTATCTGGCAGCCTCGCACAGTTTTGGCGAGGCTCGTGCTTCTCAAAGTTAGTTTGCAGCAGCCTTTTAACCGAGGATTCGTAAGAACCATTAAAAGGTTTCTGTTCCCTTTGGGTTGTGTTTTACTGGAAAAGGGTTTGGGTCGGAACAATCCCAGGGTGGGGTGGGGAATGGTGGAGGGCAGCTAAATAGGACTTTATTTGTCTCTGCTCAGCTCCCCCTAACCTGTACCATCCTTTCTTTTTACAGCAAGCTAATCGGGGCGATGGACTTTCGTTCCAGATGAAAATGGGGATGTTGCAGTAACGGAACAGACCCCGAAATGGCAAAGATGATCCGGTGGCTGTTTGCAAAGGTTTTGCCCCAACGAGGCATGTCCAGGTGCCAGAAGGCAGGCCCAGGCCACGGTGCCCAAGCCTTTGGGGGGGCCCTCTCCCCCTCCCTTTCTGCCCCAAGGGCTCCTTGATTTCCCCAGGGGTCGGTCTCTTCAGCTTCTCATCCAGTTGAGGTTAGGGAATGTAATTCCACCAGGTTCTTCTTGTGGGGGGGAAAGAGAGAGAGAGAGAGGATGCAGGAGAAGAAGAAAAAAACCCAACAAATTCAGGGCTGTTTTTGATGGGGGCGCTTTCCAAGGGATTTCTTGCAGCTAGATTTCTTGCAGCTCATGATCTCCCTCGTCCGTAATTTTGGGGATCTGGGAGGGAAGGCCTACGGGGTCTCCTTCAATCCACCTGGCATTGCGCCACTCCCCCTCCCCCCTCCCCAACCCCCCAGCAAGGAGGCCCAAGAGCTTCAGGGGAATCTGGAATGAGACCACCTGGCCCAATTCTCCGGCTGCCTCAGTTCCTTCTCCTTCCAGGCACAGGTGATTCACCTCGCCTTTGAAGGGTACAGTGGCTTCCCGGCCAGTCGGGGGAAGATTAAAGAGCCGTTTTGGGGTTTCCAGAGGGGCCGATTCTGGATTTGGGAGAAAGTTGGTCCTCCCAGTTGGTTGGACCCCAAAGAATGCCTGGAAGGTTGCCAGCTGCTCAGTCCCGCTAGTGAGAAAGGCAAAAGATGGCATTGTAAGCTTGTTAAGAAGAGGTCTGGCAAAACCTACCGTCTCTGCCTGGGCTGTTCGTTTAATTCTGCATTGGTTGCTGCAGGTTTTAATTTTAAATTCTCTCCTTCTCCTTCCATCCTTCTCCTCTTTCTCTTCTTCCTATGCTCCTCCTCCTTTTCCTTCCATCCTTTTCTTCCTTCCACCCTTCTTTCTCCTCTCCCTTTCATTCTTTTCTTCCTTTTCTTCTTCTCTTCCTTCCATCATCTTCTTTCCTTCTATTCTTATCCTTTCTCCTTCTCTTCCTTCCCTTCTTCTCCTTCCATCTTTCTCCTTTTCCTTTTCTTCTTTTCTCTTTCCTTCTTTTTTGTCCTCCATCCTCCTTTTCCTGCTCTTTCTCTCCTTCCATCCATCTCCTCCTCCTCTTCTGGCCAGAGAGCATTCACAGTCAATCATTCATTCTTGGGTAGCCACTTTGTGCAATTTGCACATAACCTTCCTTACGGGCAAAAGATTTCCCCCTTCTTTCCAATCCCTCCCGCTTTCAATCTTGCCTGGCCTGATCGCCCTACCAGTACAAAACTGGGTTACGCACAGGCCCAGCGGAACTACGCACCGGCCAGTTCGTAGCCTCCTCTGGCAATCAAACAGCTGCTCAGCTACCTTGTGTAAACTCTGTTCCCCATTGCAAGCAGTTAATTATTAATCCGTTCTTGGAACAGGCCACGCAATTTACCCCAGAGGGAAATCAAACAGAAGCACGCGAGAGAAAATACGGTAGTCGGCATGTGTTTAAAATTCTGCAGGGCATTCCATCCTGCAGAGGAAATCGTGCTGGTTTCCAAAGCACCACTAAAGGCAAATTTAATATTCTTCCTTTGAAATTCGCCAAATGAAGCTGTTCTTATTTAATTATTTTTTTGTTGTTAATTTGGCTGGATTGTATGTACCCTTTGCATGCATCGTTCTCTTTTTCAAAACTGTAAGCTCTTAAAAAGAAGAATTCAGACTGTCCAAGGCAATCAATATTATGTCATCTGTCCAACTGGAAAATGCTTGTACAGGGTGCTGAGGTAGCTAATTTAACTAATTAAAGCCGTCTCCTAAACCACCTTAGTCGGCCGATGGCATGCCTCCGTTCAGTTAGAGGAGGAGCGCTTGCTCTGTAGTGGGTGTGATTTCCAGACTGTTCTGGCACGTTTAAATTCTGGATAAGGATGAGCTACTATCAGATGATACACCGGAAGAAGGGATGGCTTCCCAAATTAAGAAAGGCCTGCCACCAACACCCGTGAAATTATTTTATCCACGAATAATAATAAAAAAAATCACTCAAGAACCAAGTTGTTAGCCTGCTTTCCGGCTTGGCCTCAGTGGTTTAGCAGGAGCTATAAACAGGCCACCTTCTCTCTCTGCATCCTTAACCAATACCCAAAGTTTCCAAGATACTGTAACTGAGTTAATCCCTTGGTTTGAAACCCACCCTGATTACTTTTGCCTGGTGAAGAAAAAGTTATGCAGGAGGCTATATTTGAAAAAAATAAATAAATATCGAGGGAATTGCCAGGGAAAGTTGAACCCAACGAAGCCCAACCGAAGGAAATGGACACGGGTTAAAATAGGCCCCATGGGGCAATTTGTGATGTGGTTCCGGGCATGCCTTTGTGCAAAGAAACGAAGACGGTGAGCAAACCTTCCCAGTTCCTTTAATTAGAGGTTCACATACAACTGGTAGCTGGATACAAAGCACACTCAGGTGGCAAGAGAGAAGATGGCAGTCACGTACGACAACAGCAAGGCGCCTGACAGTATCATGCACACAGAAACATAGGAACATAACGAAACAAAACAAAAAAAGATGGAACAGGCTAAGCCAGACCCTCCAAACGTCCAAACTGAGCATTTCCACCTGCAATAATTTTATCCCCCTCCCGACTGTATCCTTAAAAGTGAAGATTTTTCCATTTCTGGTGCCAACAGGACACATTTAAAGATGACATTAGGACAGGTAGAAAAAAAAGAGGGCTAATAGGAACCTTGTAGTGATGGTGAAGACATTGAAAAGAGAGAGAAATGCTTCCCAGCCAAGCAGCTTTGGCTAAATCCGGCAGGAACCGAACTTGGTCAAGTGGCTCGGCTCCGCGGCAGGGCACGATAAACCTTCTTCAAACTGAAATGTTTCCCTGTTTGAAAAGGCAAAGAGATCTGCCCGGATTGAAAAGAGGGGAGGCTTTCCTTCCATCAAGACGTTCCAATTTGCCTGCTACCTTTCTGCTATCGTGGGATTTAAGTGGGTGATGGGTGAGAATTGCCAGGTTTCTAATTCTGGATCAGATTGGAGCCCTTCGGCTCCAATAAATAAAATAAAATAAAACAGATCTCCATTCTTTCCAAGCAGAGGTGTTTCAGATCAGGGGTGTCCAACCTTGGCCAACTTTTAAGACCTGTGGACTTCCAACTCCCAGAATCACCCAGCCAACATGGGTGGATCTCAATTCCCAGAATCCCCCAGCCAGCATGTTGAGATTTCCCTCCACCTTAAAATTTGCCCAAGTTTGCAAAAACATTTGAGTTGTACACCGGCTTTTTCTTTTTACACACGTCTTGCAAATGCACACACGGAGACACGAGATGTAGTGTTTTGTTTTGTTTTTCTTTAGAATTTGAAAATGTTTACACATCAGGTTGTGTCTTGGTTGACGGGTTGTGCAGAGTAAAAGAAGGAAGGGAAGAAGTCCCAAACAGTGTGTGGTTCCCTTGGCAGTTTTTGTGATGTCTTTTTTTTTTTTTGCACAACGTAATGGAGACGCGATGATCGGACGAGACAGAGCAGAAACGCAATCCTTTTGGACACTTCTCTCACTCCTGTTTTTCAACGTCCATCCCTAAGCACTAGGCGCAACCAGAGAGAGAAGAAAAATAAATAAATCCCATAAGTAGTGTGAGAAACCTTCCAGTCCCCTTCGCAGTTGGATAGATGGCTTAGTATCATACAATGTGGCTTCCTAAACCACCGAGATTTTCTCCGAATTTTACTCCGGCACTTTTCAAAGGGAGAGAAACAGATGCCGGAGAAGTTTTAAAGAGCGGGGAGGGATATATTATAAAAAAAGAGCATTGGGTGGATATTTGTTCATTAAAATATATATATATATATCCAGGCAAACCACCGAAGCGTTGCGGAGGTTGGAAAAAAGGCTGCATTTCACAGTGCAAAAGTGTCCGTCCGTTGGGACGCCCATCGGTCTGGCGGGGGGAAAGGAAGGAAAAAATGCGCCTGCAAGATAGATATCTGAGCCAAGTATATAAAAAAAAGGAGCAGCATTGCAGGCCAGTAAAGACAAGGTTGACCTCCCAGTGAAGAGGTTGGGGCTTTAGGATGGGCTGAAATGCCCCTTGGCAGCAGCTAGAAAATCTGGATTGCAAACAGGGGAGACAAAAAAGGAGGGTGAACAGCCAGACAAATGCCCCCCCTCCTCCCGTCTTCCCCCCCCCCAAAGCTTTCAAACCTCTTTCAAGCCAGGTAAACGAGCAGAGAAGCAGGAGGAAAATACAGGTCCTCCTTGACTTAACGACCCTCCCAGATTTCCGTCGCTAAGCAGGACAGTGGTGGAGTTTTTGCCCCATTTGGTGACCTTTCTGGCCGCCGTCATTGAAGGAGTCCCTGTAGTTATTTGTCCGATGCTTGTTAAATGAGTCAGGATGCCCCGTTGGCTTTGCTCATCTGAAGGTGGCCAAAGGGGATCCTGTGACATGCACACACATCCCTGCGGCCGTCACAAATATGAATCCACTGCCAAGCGGGTGAATTTTGATCCCGTGACTAACGGGATACTGCGACGGTACAAGAAATGGTCATAAGTCACTTTTTTTAAGTGCCATTGTAACTTTGAATGGTCGTAAGCCAAGGACCCCCTGTATTATAAATCCCCTTCTGCTCAGAGATCCTATCTTTTTCAGCATCAAATCTCTTCCAGGCGGGGGGAAAAAAAATGCCCCGTTTTCCCTCTCCTAACTTCCCTGGTCAAGTTGACGTCTCTGCGAGGTGGCTCAAATGGCTAATCCGAACTTTTTTTTTAAAAAAAATCTTCCTGAAATATCCAAAGGGCGAATGGGTGGGGAAATCTCCCCCTTCGTTCAGCCTGCCGTGTTGTTGTGCGTCTGTTAAGTCCAGACAGACCTTCCGTGGCTTAACAACATTGAATGACATGCGCTATAAATCCGGAAGGAGTCGCTTGAAAAAAAAAAAAAAAAAGTAAAAACCAGACCTCCTTCCTAAAAGTTTCTCAGTGCAAACCCCTAAAAACCGTGAGGTGTACAATTGTGATATACCTACCGTTTAAAAAAAGAAAACCGAGTTTACAACCCCTCCCGAAATCTGATACTATTAACGTTGGAAAAACGAGAAACGGTTCCAGTCTAAAGGCAGGGAGGGGAATTCATAAATAAATAAATAAATAAACAACAACAACAACAACAACAATCTGAAAAGGCCTGGGAAGAATTTGGACGTAGCTTCTTTTTATTTTCGGTTTTAGGCTGAGGAAATATCGCCACTTCCCAGGTGTTCCGAATCGTACGGCAGGTCCTGCCTTCAGAAGGTCGTGCCCAAATCGTGCTCCCTTCGTTCTGAAGGGACAGAATCCCGTGCCTGTTAAGACTTGTTTTTTAAAAATTTTCCTGAATTAGTGCAATCCGTCAAACTTCCAAACTCTTATTTAAAAAATAAAAAGCCTTTAATTAGAACCAGCCTCGATAAAATCACCCATCCAGCAGTGTGTGCATTGCACCCGTAGCTTTATATCGCCACCGTGGAAGCCGTCCAACGTGACTCGGCCCTGGGGCTGGGGCTTCGGCTTGTGGGTCCCCGAGTCCTTCCAGACTCCAGAAATGAATCAAGTTTGGTTGCGGGTTGTAAAGTAGTGATAGCTGTCGATGTCCCCTTCCTCGTGTCCAGTCTACGTGAACACAATCTGCTCTCCTGCTGCTGCTCCCAACGGTACCGGTGTGTTTACTTGGGTGATGTGTCTTCTCGTCTTTTGATGGATGGCTAAGAAGAAGCTGGACAGGCACGTATTTACAATCTCTAACCCTGGATAAAGAGCCGGAAAATGGTGGATCTTTGAAGATGAGGCAGCTTGAAGTCTCGGTGGCAGAAGGCGGCTCCTGTTCTCGGCCTCCCCGGTTGCTCTCCACGTACCCAACGTCCCTGCCATGTTTTGTGTGTGTGTGGGGGGGGAAGGAAACCCAAATTGCTTGGTTGCTCCTGGCCAAGTCACTGCCGCCCCACCGGCAATGAGTAGCACCATATTTGCCCACGAGCCCCACGCCGCTGGCCTTGCCGTGGCCCCTGCTTCCGCCACCCGGGCAAGTGCAGCCGGCCATCATCACGCCTCGGACGCCTCTACTTCTGACCCAAGTTCCCTGGTTCGAGCCTTGGGAGTGTGCTTCGGCCCCAGCAGCCCGTGGCGAGACTCATGCTCCGTTGGCTGCGTTCTCGGTCCCTTTCCCGGTCACTTTCGGAGTGGCTTTGTGTCCACTCTGGACGGTAACTGGCACTCTGGCCAGAGGACACGGTGGGCTGGGAGGAGATAGTTCGCAACAGGTGGTTCCTCTTGCGCAGGAATTCGGTTTGGCCTGGGAGTCCGAAGCTGCCCTTCCGGAGAGCCATTCGCGTGGTGTTCTTGGCAGGCCGAGAGCGATGAGTGTACTCCAGCTGGGCCAGATGGGACGCGTAGCCTTCTGTGATGAACTACAGGACAAGAGACACCAAAAATTCCTTACTTTGGGAGAGGACGCAGGGTGGTGCCCTTGGCTTAAGGTCAAAGAACTTCTCTTTCAGATGACCTCCCAACAGATCGGTTTCCCAGCCCCTTTCCCTCCCCTACTTCACTCTACCACCATCATCAAAGTCTCGTCCTTCCCTGCTTTTCCTCTTCCCATATCTGGTGAACACAATCCTGTTTTGCCCTTTGAGGTAGTCGGGAGAAGAAGCATTTTCCTTCTCCTTTCCTACATCCCTTCCAAAATGCTTCCCACCGGGGTGGGTTTCTACCGGTTCTGTCCACTTCTGTAGAACCGGTAGCTCTGAAGAGCAGCAGACATAGAAAGGAAGGGAAAAAAACTCCAGAGATGCTCCTGAGACAGGAAGTCTAGTCCTGCCAAGAAAGTAATAGGGGTTAACGGAGAGGCAGTTTCTGTAAGCAACTCCAGAATGTTTCCTTCCTGCCTTCCTTACAGGATTAGGCCCGTAATTTCTTCTAACAACCGGTTCTCCGAACTGCGTAGAATGTTAACAAGCGGTTCTAGCGAATAGGTGCGAACTGGCAGAATCCCACCCCTGGCTCATACCCTTACAGTTGGTATCTGGAAGAAAACCAGGATTGGTTCTACATACTGGCCCAAGCAGCTGAACGTGTATATCTGGTCAGCTTGCAACCTCTGGACGTTTCCAACCCAAACTGCTTCATTGTTCAGGCTTGGGCTTCAAAGCTAAGCCTGATCTCTGGAACATCCTTCCAAAAGTTCCTCAATCCAACAGAGCTAAGGTGAGTTTGCTAACGTTGCTCCTTTCTTCTACAAGATGCTTCCCTGAGATTTATCGACCGTGGAAAGCAAGCTGGACCCCTTACAATAAAAGGTTCTCACTTGGCATTGGTTCTGTAACTTTTTGGTAGGCCGCCCGACAATGTAGATCTGTGGAGGGGGCAGGTTGATGGAGGTGTAGACGGAGACATCCTTGGTGGATCCATAGGCCGCATGGATCTTCATGTCCAGCTAGAAGAAGAAGAAAAAGTCAATCTGTCAACTCATAAAATATTCCTGTGGTCTTTTAGAGTTGCCAACAGACAGGGAGGGGGGAGCAGTGGGCAGGTTGCATTCCATAAATGTTTTCAAAGATAGTAACTAGGTGACTGAAGTTTCTGCTGGGCAAAATTCTAACTAGAGAACAGGATTGATGACTGGGCTATGGATGTGTCCCATTGGAGAATATGAATTATGACACACCCAGGGGGTGGGGGAAAACCAGGGTCAAGGGTGACAATGAATGATGTGTCTCAGAATCGGCTATACCCAGGCAGTGCTGGACATGTTAACTCCCAATAAATCCTTTTGAAGTTTTGGAAGTGTCAACTCATAAAACATTTTGTATACATGTTTTATAGTTGACAACAGAAGGGGGGAAGTTTCAAAGAGCAGGCAAGAGTTTGAAATCGGTTTGAATAGTATAGTCAAATGATTGATTAACAAAGATAAATGTATTTAGAAATATCTGTTTGATAATGTGATAATATATACAACAATTTTAAGTGAGGACTATGGAGAAGATGCACAAAAAATTTGTAACCAACCGACACACTATATGTATGTAATTGGAAGATGGCTTTATGCTTTTATGTTTTGTTTGTGTATGTCTAAAAATAAAAAAAAATTCTTTGGGAAAAAAAAAGAATTTTTGGGCTTGATTGTGGTCGTAAGTAGAGGAGTACCTGTACTAAGAAACCGATTCAAAGAAGTGACGGATGGAAACCAGATCTCCTGCCCACAACAGACAGCTACACAGCCCATCATGGGTGGTAAAAAATGTGGAAAAAATATAAGGACAAGAGAAAGATGTGCAAGAATGTGAATCTTTATAAACAGGACTCATGTTTGATACTCAGCAATCTCTGGATTTATTTATTTTTTTCCTCATAAGTACTTGTTAACTTTCCTGCAATATAATTTCTGATCAGAAGGTCCCAGATTCTCAAAGGCGCTTTGAAGGGGACCTGGCCCAGCCTGACCGCGTCTGCTTTAACCCGCTGCGAATTCTGCTTACGTCTGTGACTAGAGACTTCAGGAAGTTGGCTTTGTGCCTCAAGGGATCATGAACCAGCCCATCGCAGAAGGAGACAATCCCGTGGGGGAAGTTGTGCTGTGCTAACCAGGCGACCACTCTCTGCTTCTGCATGTCGGGCCGGCCCGTGACGTAGATAATGAGGTAGCCAAGCTCTTGCCAGTGCCTAAGGATGGGGGAAACGAGAAAGACGGATGAGCGGAGAGAGCGAGAGGCAGTGTGAATATAAGCATGGAAAAGGGTCTCTTGTTTTCAACTGGAAAAAAAAAACACTTCCTGCTATTCTTATAGTATCCCATAAGGAGCATGGCGGCTCAGGTGGTTAGAACAATGGCTTGAAAATCAGCAAGCGTTCGAGACCCACGTGCTGATGTTGGGATGGGGTGAGCTCCCGTCATTCGCTCCAGCTCCTAGCAGTTTGAAAGCATGCAAATGTAAGTAGATAAACAGGTACCACTTCGGTGGGCTCACTATGGGGATGTGCAACTGGGTGTGTTTCCAGGGCAACGATGACGTCACTGGCTAATCCTTTCAACCCGCAAGTGCCTTGGAGCTTCCGACACGAAACCAACAGCATGAAAATCCCATTCTTCAGTACAACTTCCCAGCCCTAACGCTCCCCACCGCCGCTGACCCCCACCTACCGTACAACATCAACTGCTCCAGCTCTGACTTTGGGGTCGCTGCCCATAATGGAGACGCTGGCTGCAAAGGAACCGTCAATGCTGAAGACCACGAATTCGGTCCCCCGCGGTAAAACGGTGATGTAGCTATCTGCGTATGTGTGATCCCCCCTAAGGAGAAAGAAACAAGAAAGTGAACCTTGATTTCATGATACAGGTACGGTAGTCCTCAATGCATTTTTCCCCCCTAGTCTTCTGGGGAAAGTTAAATTGTATTAATGCCTATTTTAGGGATCTGTGCTATCCTTCCAGATTAAGGTCAACAGCATGCTTGCTATTTTTCAACATTGTTAGTCAGAAGGGGGGACATGAAGACAAAAGTTAAGTTCAGAAGCGACCTGTGTTTTTAGCCGAACAGGTACATCAATCTTGGCTGAGAGACTGAATAGATTATTTTTTCCTTAAATTTAAGCGGTCGTAATTATGCATCAGCCTTCAAAGGGGGAAAACAGGACAGGAATCTAAAAGATAAGCAATCGCTGTCTGCCTTGGATTAAGGATAAAGATGCCAATAGAAGAATTATTTATTGGCCAAGTGTGGTTGGACACACAAGGAATTTGTCTTGGTGCAAATACTCTCAGTATACATAAAAGAAAAGATACATTCGTCAAGAATCATAATAATCATAGCTCACCCACAATCAGATGGCCTCAGTTGCCACATCTGCATTTTTCAAGCTGTGCCCATTTTTCCTACCTACTGCTCCACTGCTGTGCCATTCCCTGGCAAACCTCTGTCCACAAGAACGTACCTCACCACCATTTTGACAGGATACACCCCGATCCCCAGCCGTCTCTGCTCGGGAATCATGTAGGAAATGCGTCCACTGCTGTTGGCGATCTCCGTGTCAAAATAAACCCATTCCCCTGAGGGAGGCTGGGTCATGATGTGAATGTCCACCTGAAGCGCAAAGAAGAAGAA